CATATTTCTTATAGCGTTTGCGAGGTCAGTCAAACTGACTGAATGGGTATAAAGTTAGGGTAGGGAGAAAAATATTAGATATAAAGTTTACTGAAAGAAAAAGTTTGATATCTGTTTAGGTGGGTTTAGAGAGTTAATTGTTTGTTGTTAAGCACAAAGCTACACAATGGGCTATCTGTGCTCTGCCCACCACGGGTATAGAAACCCGGTTTCTAGCGTTGTAAGTCCGCAGACATATCACTGTGCCACTGGAAGGGGGGTGGTTTTTAGAGAGTATGCAAATGAAATTTGTCAGCTTTCAGAAGAAGAAAAGTAATTTTCACCTTAACATGAAAAATTACTTTACACTCGGAGTAGTCGACGTTCTAATTCTAAATACTCACGGACAAATTTGTAGCACAAATACTTCATTAAAAAATCAGATTTTTGGTGTAAAAAAAAAGACTCGTAATGTTTACTGAAAGCTTGCTAAATTTTGTGAAGATACATAAAACATTAAAGTTATAGCATGGAAACTCTGACAGTCACTTTGGGATCATGAACACTGCTCGATCGACCGAGCCTGTAGCAAGAGAGTTAACTGATTAAGTACTTGCATCTTTAAAATTAAAACCAAAAGCCTGTAAAAGAGTGGAAATGTGGTGTATTTAAGGTGTTTTTTTTAATCCCAACCAGTTTTGGGCAAAATTCCTAAAAACAAACTAACCTACGTACACCATTGGACAGTAATCGAACCAGTCAAATCTAGGTAATGGATGCTAACATACGCACGCATATATAAATAAATATATAATGGGTCATCTTTACAGTAAGATATTTCACCTTGTATCTTCTTCAGAAGATCTCAGCAGGCTCAACACAACTGATAACCGTTTTACGTCTTCTGTTGTGATTAGTAGGGTGTTAACGTCCTGAAGAAGCCACAAAATGAAATATCTATGTAATACAATAAGTATTCTTTAATTGTTCTGAACTTCCTACAATGAATCATTAGGTGTTAATGTCTTGAAGCAGCAGGAAGTGGACTAACCCAAGATCGTCTTGCACTGGTGCCAACTTGTTGATTAGAATTGACAAACGGTCCCATCGCATTCTCCTACACTCATGATGGAAGTCAAAAGCTTCATACCTACAGTAGTAAAATTAAAAAATTCAGACAAGTCAACAGCATTTAACCTTGTGGCTTCTTGAGGAGGAAAGTATAATTCGTTAAACACCAAAGCAATGTTTCATACTCCATTCTTTCTGCCAGATCTGTAGAATGCTTCTGAAGTATGACTACAGATAAGACTACTTTATACTTAACTTTAATATGATTTTTGAATATAAAATGTGAATTAAAAGCATTGTAATTAAAGTTCTTTTCTTATTTATTTTAAGTCAATGCTAACATGGTTTTTCCATTTCCTATCAGTGTTGAAAATCAGTTACGATCTTATTGTGATGGTTCATTAAATTTACCACCTTAGAATGGCTTATGTTTGGCTAACAAAGGCTTCGTAAGTTAGAGCTTATAACTAGCTTGAAGGCGAAAAAGAAATTGTGTTTTTCTGTGCTTATCTTTATATAGAGATAAAGTTGAATTATGAGGGAAAAAAAGAGAGAATGAAAAAGCTAAAAATGGCAGATTCAAATAGGATCAATAAAGTTCAAATACAACAACACTCGTGCTAGGTTCTTAAGCATTGAAAAATCAAAGGTTAAATAATACCAAAATAACAAACAGACCAGTAGAAATTGACACAAAATATGGTCAACCTGGGCATTTTCCTTGACATCCAAGTTTTGGTCTTAAAACATGCATATGGGTGTCTGAAAGGTGTAGGAAAAATTCACCCAAATTCTCACTTGGTGGAATATATTTTTTGCAGATCAAAGTTAGGCCTATAAAATGCACCTTTTTTGTGTGTTAACACTACTACTAAACATAGAATCAATACAGCTTTGAAAAAAGCTGTGGAAGACAGAGTACAGCTATTGACCCTAGTAATGCTCATGCAGTTGATATTAAGAGCCAACAAAAAATGTTGGGTCGTTAAGAGTCCAGAGGTCATCTGCATTCATTGCAAGTGCAGAACAAACCCAACAACAACAACAACCTCACAGTCAAATGACAGTTATAATTGAACTAACACACACAACTGACTCTCAAACTTCAAATAAAGCCTATCTATCCATGGAGGACACTGAAGCAACATGCATAACACTACTATGTGATGAAAAAGAAAAGTAAGCCTCAAGATGTGGAGTAGTTTTGGAAATGTGTATCTAATTAGAAGTGAGATAAAAACTTTCCTCAAACAAAAACCTTGTAAAATAGATTTTCATCTCACTAACAACAAAAATTATCAACACTGCTCTACGCACTTCTCAGACGGATCATACCTCGACCAATGTTGATTCCAAAACTTGCACCGTGGATGCAGAACATAATGCATGCCAGCAATTTGATAGGCAAATGAGTTATGATGTCGAAATTGATGTAGCATCTTTCAGGGCACCAAAAAGCAAGAGAAAATACTACTGTGATTGGCATGACATTAACAGTTCACCACGACACAAGAATCTGGTACATTTGTTTTCATCTCATGGTTATTATGTCAATTTAACCAGAGCAATGGTGTTGGATACAGCCATTACTAATGCCGTTATTGCTAATATGCAGGCAGCAAATAATGCCCATGTACGTCCATTCTTAAAGAAGAATAAGTTTGTGTTCTTTCAGTGAAGACACTCTTGATACTATCACAGTAACATATCACAGATCGGATGCCAAAAATGTGTCTCAGCTTGAGGAGGGAAGATGACTGACCCTCACACCACACTAAACAAAAATACTAGACTGTGTTACATCCTGTTTACAGGACTGGGAAAAGAATGTAGAAATGACATCATTCAAAACCTGTAGTATTGAATAAAGATACGAAGACCTGGAGTGGATGATTGCCAGATCATCAACAAAGACACCAACCACAGAAACCCAACTTCCTGAATGGCAGGATACAATTCTCCAATCAACACTCCCCAGGACAAAACTGTGGAAGTTCTCCCTTTAGTTTCTGCACCAGCCCATGAATGATCCACGTTTTTGTCAGTATTGGAGAATGCCCAACATATAAATGTTGCAGCAATCTGGGAAAACCACAAAACTGTCATCTCAATGGATAAGGCCTTACATAAAAAAAACTCTACTGTTGAATTCTTGGCTTGAGAAAAACCACGTGAAGTTGCATCAGCAAGTGTTGAGACAGCTTTTCAAGAATAGAAACTTAATATATGCCAGATGAAGGTGAAGCAGGCATATGTAGAACTAGGGGTCATCTTCAGTGAAAATAATTTGGCAGAGAAAGTACACGAGTTTATCACGTCAAGATCATGTTCAAATCACTGATAATTGACATAGTTCCCACTGATACACTGTTTCAGTTTGTGAAGAATTTATGACTGACAAAATGGCACCTTTACCTACAAGCTGGGGAATAACTTGCAAAGATGTTCTTTGCAGCTGACCACCTCAAGGCTGTGGAAAGGTTATCTTTCTGACAAGCATTCCCTTACAAAAGAAGATCCACATGTCTGGAAAGCATTTGTGGCAGGTGATTTTCCAGTCACAAAGAGACACATTTCATTTGTTTCTATAGGGCCAGATCATGCATACGAACAAGATTGTAAAGACATCAAGCAAGACAGGGGTTTGACCGGTATCTCATCCAATCCAAATGTATAATAGAGGTTCTTCATTATTGGTCCAGAGTTGGCAAGGATGAGTGGAGAATGCAAGATGCAGTTTCTGGAGTACAGCAGCATGAGAAACTGACATCATGGCCTGTCATACGGTGCTGTTTGTTTGGACCAAGAAAGTGTGAGGAAGCTGACCAACTGTAAATTAACAAATTATTATATGATCATTTTATTATCCTTCAATCTAAACTACAATCGTATCAAACAAACAATACATATGAATACAATTCACAAAAGTAAACCATGCTACAGGTTTTCCAAAAGTGTATGTTCCCAAAAATTAACAGAAAACTTCAACAGATGTTGATTTTTTAACAGAGGCAAACCAACTATAAACAATATACACTAATTATTAATTTTTCAAATCTAATAAGTTACCTTATGTTAGAACTTCTGGAAACTCGAACCAATTCTGAAAAACATTTTTCCAGATGTCCTTCAGCACCTTTCTGGTCTACCTAATCAATAGGGAAGTAGTGGTTTTACTTGGCTGTCCTTATTTAGATCATAGCTGTGACTACAGCAATAATAACTTTGCATGTAAGTTCTAAATTTAAAGTTGTATAAAGTTTTTCAATATCACAACAATTCTTTTCACTTTATTAATGCTGCTACGGAATGACATTATTCTTTCGAAACTTTGTAACGAAATGAAATTCAATCAACAATGATGATTTTTACTTCAGCTTACGATAGTACATTAAAATACATGAAACACAGAACATTACTTGAACTTGACATAAACTTGTACGTACCAGATTGATAAGGACTTGTTTTCCGTAGTTGAATATCTGATTATCGAAGTGTTTGGAGAAACCATCAATCTGAAAAAAAAAATCAAATCTTGTATTTTATTTACCAGTAATAATAAACATTTGTTGGATATTTTTTTTTTAAGATAACTTTACTAAATTATTTTATGAATGCAAGGTAGGAAAATGTTTTATTAATGAATAACTTCTAAATTTAAAAGTGATTAATGATAAACTGAAGTAAAAATGAATAGAATACAGGCTTGTTAACTTACAAGATAAGTTTTAGAACACAGTTAGTTCGTGAGGTTTTGTCTGAAACAATTATCACTGGAATTGAAGTTATGATGAGAATAGACCATAATATGACTTATAACGTGCACCAGGTGTTAAATATAAATTTTATCGAGCACTATGTTTTGAATTACCTCAAAACAGGATTAAAGTTGAACAAAGTTTTGTTTTTTTAAATAAATCAATAATCACAAGATTCACAAATTCTAACCTCAGCTGTTATCAACAAGTATATTGCTCCATTAATAACATACGTGTTAAAGTACAGGTCATTAAACTAAAAAATTAGCTGTAGAGGGTATAGCAAAAATAAGGGTTTGCTGTCTGCTTCAAATAAAGAAAACCAAGTGTGCAAAAAAGCGCATCTTTTAATGCAAAATTAGGTGTGAAGTCTGAGATACTATTTATTTCTTAGAAAACGCAAGAACGAAACCTTAAGACTTTAATGAAAATATTATATAAAATTAGGTGTGAAGTCTGAGATACTATTTATTTCTTAGAAAAACGCAAGAACGAAACCTTAAGACTTTAATGAAAATATTATATCACTTCCAATGAGAAAAAAACAAACAATTTTTTTCTATTCGCTCATAAGAACACGGTACAGGATGGACTAAGAATACAAAATGTGATTTCTACACATGATAACTGTCAAAGAACCTCACGAGCAACGTTTGTGGTTCTGAGGTGGAGACTGCACAGTTAAACCAAATTTAATTGGTACAGACTGTGAATGACCTGAGGTGGAGACTGCACAGTTAAACTAAACTTACATGGTTCTGACTGTGAATGACCTGAGGTGGAGACTGCACAGTTAAACTAAACTTACATGGTTCTGACTGTGAATGGCCTGAGGTGGAGACTGCACAGTTAAACTAAACTTCCTCAGGTCATTTACAGTCAGAACCATGTAAGTTTAGTTTAACTGTGCAGTCTCCAGTTCAGGTCATTCACAGTCAGAGCCATGTAAGTTTAGTTTAACTGTGCAGTCTCCAACCCAGGTCATTCACAGTCAGAACCATGCCTGGAGACTGCACAGTTAAACTAAACTTACATGGTTCTGACTGTGAATGACCTGAGCTGGAGACTGCACAGTTAAACTAAACTTACATGGTTCTGATTGTTAATGACTTGAGGGGAAGGCTTCCGTTTCAGGTTCGGCATCTGAGACCAGAATAAGGGAATTGAACCTCGAGTCTGGAAAAACATGTTCTGTTATTGAAAATTTAAGAGTCCTTTATAAAAAACAAATCTCTATTTTTGGAGACAATGTTCTTGAAATGTACATTTTTATGCAACACATTTCATTCCATATTATAAAGGCATAGTGTGATCTATAAACAGTAAAATAAAGAAAATGCAACATTTTCACTATATCAATCAAACTCAGTGGTAGAACAATGATATATTATTTTGTAACTATTAAACAATGACAGAAGAATTACTAAATTTTTTACATTAACAGATGCAGGGCTGAATACTTTGAAAATTAATTCTGTACGTTATAAAAAATTACTACACTAAGACTCACAGATCTGATCAAATGTTCGTTAGTTTCATTATCAATAATTATACTAATTACATATAACAACAATTACTATCGGACTTTTATCTAAGCTTGACAACAAATATTTTGAGAACTATTTGAAAAATGTTTATTAGATATTTCCAAAAGATATCTGTCATGGAATAACTGAACTGAATAACGCTTACTTGTACAAAAGAGGTCATGCAACCATCACATTCCACAATTTGTTCAGTCTCTATAAAGTTGGCAACATGACCTTCAGAGTCGACGCCTCTCACAAAATATCGGGTGCCAGCACGTAACATGCTTCTCCTTGAAATCAGACACCACGTGAAAGTTTTTCGATTGATGATGCTAGTTTTAATTGCGATAACTGTTACGTTAAAGATCAAATGTACCAACATTACTTCAGATATGATAATGAAATTATCTTTTGTTTCAAGAAAAATTATGAGAAGTGGTGTAATTATTATCAATAGTCTTAAACCAAGTTTTTATAAGATTTTGAAATGGAGAAATCAAAAAGTTTGAATGTAATATTAAAAAGATTTAATTCCACATGCGAAGGGTTAATGACAAAAATAGCTTAGATTAGTGGTAAGTATGACATTAACCCTTAAATAATGTGTCCAGATTTAACCACTTTATGAAAAGGAAGCATTGCTATTTTAATTTGCTTAAAAGTTTATAAATATATATTTATGCATTATGATGATAGTAATATTATCAGAGTTTACCATAACTAGTACAGAATATATATTTATTTAACCTTGATGGAGAGGAACCCATTTTCAGATACTAAAATTTAGAGATGACTTGAATGAGTAACAAAGAAAATTTCATTTCAAGTTTTAACCCAGTAACAGCGCCTGGCATGGCCAGGTGGTTAGGGCACTCGACTCGCAATCTGCGGGTTCGAATACCCGTCACACCAAAACATGCTCACCCTGTGTCCGGACTAGGACGCCAGTCCTACTCCCGGATACTCACCTCCAAACGAATTTGTAGGTGTGATAAACACCATACGAAACTACTACCCAATAACAAATGTACAATGTGTCAATAAAGTTTTATCTGTTCAAGTCATCTCTAAACTTTATTGATTAAATTTTTGTATATATAAGTGCATGTTCCGGCAAACGTTAAGTACACTTAATACAAAGTATTATCCACACACAAAAACTATGTTACTATTGAAATAATTTTCCTTCGTCATATTAAAACCTTACACAATATTAACAAAAACTTTAAAGTGTTATACACTGAAGAGCTATAAACGGCAATAAAATAAACGTCAAGTTTCGTGGAATTCAACATATTTCCATACGGTGTATTACTTTTTTGTTAAAAATCAGAAACATCCTACTAAGTGCAGATAACAAGTTGGTAACATACAGTGTATTTCACAGACAGAATACATTCACAATAAGGCTATATAAGACTATATAAGTAAATCCTATAATAGTTTTCAGTATAAAAGATACAACCATGAACAACTGGAAGCCAATAACGATGAAGCTGCAAAAAAAAAAAAAATTGAAACGATAACTTCAGAATATATTCATAATTAAATCTTAATAACAAAATATTTAACAAAAATCATTAAGAGTTAATTGGGATTTAATGAACAGATCAATTAAAAAGTTTATATATGCAAGTACATGGGAGGAGTTGGCCTCAGATTGTACAAAATGGAAAACAACAAAAATAAAGGTCTCAAAATAGTACACAACTAATGTATTTCTAACGCGGCAATAAAGTGCCAAAACGAAAAGTGATCACTGCCATCAAACACTTGTGCCTGCATCGTCTATGGCAAAGCCTGCCATGCCGGAATTAGACTAATCTTCACGGCAATAAAGTGCCAAAACGAAAAGTGATCACTGCCATCAAACACTTGTGCCTGCATCGTCTATGGCAAAGCCTGCCATGCCGGAATCAGACTAATCTTCCGCATGAGACGTCACAAGTCTGTAAGCGAGATCTCATAGGTCACGAGTCCCCATCATATATATTTAAAAGATAAATTTTATTTCTTTGAGGAAAATTACATTATTACACTGGTTCTCCAGAGATAACAAACCCATTCTGTTGTTCATACATAACACTATGCTTCACTCTTAAAAACTAACTGATAAAAAACATGCCAGGAATTTTGTTAGAACATAAACTTGGAAGTTTTCCTAACCTGGTTCATACAAGAAATTATTAAAAAATAACAAACAGTGAAAGGAACTTGCATAAACATAGCACAAAATACATAATTTAACCAGCAACATTTAACTTTTGACTAAAAATAAGCCTGAAATACATCCATTACTATTACCTTAGCTATGTACTTAAACTATAGATTATAAGAATTTTCTAGGAAAAACGCGAGACAAAACTTTAAAGTAACATTCAACAAATTTCACGTTACCGAGACACTCTTCCTCTACTAACTAACAGATTAGAATAAGGAAATGTGTCAAGCAGGTGACGTGTCACAAAAAATTATATTCTGACTGGAATTAGCGTGAGTATTGAAATGTGTCAAGCAGGTGACGTGTTACAAAAAATTATATTCTGACTGGAATTAGCGTGAGTATTGAAATGTGTCAAGCAGGTGACGTGTTACAAATTATATTCTGACTGGAATTAGCGTGAGTATTGAAATGTGTCAAGCAGGTGACGTGTTAAAAAAATTATATTCTGACTGGAATTAGTGTGAGTATTATTAAGAATTCTTTGGTTTACACAAAGTAATACACTAAGGCAATATCGTACCTCTGGTTGTGATATTAAATCTCTCATTAAGCAGTTGTTCCATACAAACCTTTGGTCAGCCTATTAAAAAAAAATAGTATTATACACAAAATCTACCTTTCTTTATTTTACATTAAAATATATGATATCTGGCAGGATAAGTAAATTAGAAAAATATTCTGGAAGATTTACAGTACTGAACTAGAAAGGTAAATAAAAAACCAACACTCTTTATAAGGTATATATATAAGTAATATCTTTTACTTTGGGTGTCTCTTGTTCCATTTAATGAGGAACATCCCCCTTGCTTTTCTCTGGCAGCCATGGTACTTAACCTCTCACGTCTTCTGCACTGTCTGGGTTGAACAACCAGATGTATTCCACTTCAGGGGTATTCACTCTGTGACCTTTCTTGTCTACTTTCCATCTTCACCTCGAGCCAGGTGTCCTACCCAGCTCCACTTGTTGACCACGATGTTTCTGACAGTGTCCTTGGCACCAAATGAAGACCAATCTATCTGTTTCCCAGCGTGATACCAAGCAAATCCTCTCCATCCTTCACTGAACCTCTGTCAATGTATTCTGGTGCTCAATGTACGATGTCTCAGCTCCATATGTCAACATATATTCATCGAATGTCTTTCTCTTCCATCTCATCAAGGTGGATCCACTTTTCAGGACATCTTCCAGTTTTACAAAAACACACAAGCCCAGTCTAAGTCTTCTCTCAGTCATTCTTGGTTGTGGTACGTTGTCACTTTCCTCAATCACTGTCCCACTGACAGCGAAGTCCTCTTTGGTGATATATTTACCGAACATCACTTTGTTGTTGAGAAGTTAGCATTTTTCACATCGTTGATAAATGCCTAGTTTAAGTTCCAGTTTATTCATCATCACTCTCAAGATTAATAGGCTGATTGACCTGCAAGTCCTTAAGTTCATACTTCTTACTTTCCTTGGACAAAGAATGATAACAGCATTCTTCCCAGGGTAAAACTTATTGACCAGCTTAGTTACGACATTTGCAATAGGCTTCCTAACTTCCATCAGCATGTCAACAGTGATAGTGTATTCATCCAGTAACTTACCTCTCTTCATCCTCTTGATGTCTGTCTCCGCCTCCTTGGGCATTACTAATAAAATTATTTCTCATTGGGGTTCAAAGAACCACCCTGTGGAGAATGCCTGTATTTCCAAATGCCAAAGTGTAGCCAAAGGAGGCTTAACTCAGCAGTCGTAATGCTATACTTCACACATAAAGGTTACATACTCAAAAAATAAAAAAAAACTAGAGGGCACTCTGTAGAGCACATACCTACACCTCGCAGCATTGATCATATTCGGCTCTCAAAAAATACGAAAATGTGTCCATACGCTCGTCATTATCAACTGACATGGACCACTTCTGGCAGGACAATGAGGAATAATAATAATATTCTACATATGTCCACTAAGTTTTATCAAAATCTGATCATTTTTAATTGAGTTATAGAGCAAAAATAGTGTGAAAAATAGGTCCCATGTGTGAACATATAGGGATTTTCTTAGTTTTATCAAAATCTGATCATTTTTAACTGAGTTATAGAGTAAAAATAGTGTGAAAAATGGTCCCATGTGAACATATAGGGATTTTCTTAGTTTTATCAAAATCTGATCATTTTTAACTGAGTTATAGAGTAAAAATAGTGTGAAAAATAGGTCCCCATGTGAACATATAGGGATTTTCTTAGTTTTATCAAAATCTGATCATTTTTAACTGAGTTATAGAGTAAAAATAGTGTGAAAAGTTAGTCCTCATGTGAACATATAGGGATTTTCTTGTATTTTTTGTAACTTTCCTGTGACCTATTCAAGAAATTCTGCAGACAAACACACACACACACATAAAATGCAACATGCTATCTATGAGAATCAAATATTCATCAGCTCTAAACATCTTCATTTCCATACAAAGTCTTATTTTAACAGAAAACCCGATATCACGAAGTTTTATTAATATAAGAAATTATTTAAAATTATAATATAATAAAGAAACTTGGCATAAACATATAAAAAAAACAGCACACTGTCATATTATTATTATTATAAACCCAAATTTTTCTTTCACCTGCTTAGAACAGAACCGATTAGATCCACAGAATAGAAAACCTTTTAACTTACTCTTTCCAACAGAGGCATCCGTAGGAAATCGGGACTCGTATTATGAAGTCTTTGTAGCGTATGTGTCAAGTCATAAGTGGTAGAAAAATAGAAGTGTGGGGTATGGAGAGCAGAGCGTACCATGGACAGATAAACCTTGTTATGTTGAATCTGCAATATCATCAACGACATCTTCATTTTAATATTTTTCACATAACAAAGACACATATATATCTGTTTATTTTATGTGCCTAATCAACGTCTGTCAACTGTCTATAAGTTTTAGAAAAAAAAATTATCTCCTAATATTTATTTTTACTATGCGGACTAGCTGAAGCTTGTCAATAAAGATCAAACAAGCATTATTAGAACAGGAACAACTTGCTCAAAATCTTTAACAGGAACACATTGATCATTGTGTTCCAACTGAATTTGTATCAGGCCAGAAATAAAAAAATTCAAGGACTTTCACAAACCTTTATTGCAATTTTGAAGGACCCAAGTTTACAACATTTGCACACTAATACGAGATTCGTAGCTAGATATCTGTATAAGTAATACTTAAATTTTATTTTTCATTTCTTTTTTTTCGTCTACTTAATAAGAATTACGTTCAGGTGATAGATCTTTACATCAAATTAATTAGATATTTAGACATTTTTTACTGATTTTGTTTTTCTTATGATATATGATGTTCAGTATACAAACAAATTCAAGCACTTTCCTCACACTGTCAACAAACAATAAATATTCACACCCTTGAGATTCTCATTTAGTAATAACCAAACGTATTGCAGTGAACCACTGTTCTGACATCATCAACTGTGAAACTTTTATTACCACCATTCTAAAATAATCGAGTGTGAAACTTTTGTTACCATCGTTCTGACATGATCAAGTGTGAAACTTTTCTTACTACTGTTCTGACATGATCGAATGCGAAACTTTTGTTACCACTGTTCTGACATGACCAAGTGTGAAACTTTTCTTACCACCATTCTGACATGATCAAGTGTGAAACTTTTGTTACTACTGTTCAGACACGACCGAGTGTGAAACTTTTGTTACAATTGTTCTGACACGATCGAGTGTGAAACTTTTGTTACCACTGTTCTGACATGATCAAGTGTGAAACTTTTTTTCCAAAAATTATAATTAAAAATCTTTGGAAGAAATTAGATGTATTTTTATATGTAAGTTTCACTCCCTAGATCGGCTCACCTGTTCTTCTGTAAGATGTAAGAAAGTTCTAGAGTACGACAGGATTTCCGTTTCCTCTACCCTCCATATACTTTGGCCATTAATTTCTCCAACTTTAGACTTCTTGGTAATTAGAACAAGATATGGTCCTACGGAGGATACAATACCATGGCAACATTAAAACACTGTGAAAAAAAAATTAAGAGAGAAAGATGACAAAATATATATATTACATGAGAAAAAATAACTGAGATAGCAAGGTCACAATATGCACTGTATATGTGTGATTAAAACCATAACATAAGAAGGCATTAAAAAAGAAAATACATAGTTAACATTTGAAAAATTTTAAAAACCTACAGAATCAAGCTAGCGATTGTTTTTATTTAGAGTAAATACTACCTGTACACACCAAGTTATCATCAGTAAAATGACTACGAAATTTAGAAGTTACTGAACGCAGCAAATATTTAAATTAGAAATGAAAAAAAAGATAAATATTAACTTCATAATGCAAAAAAAATGGACTTCAGCAATCATGGTAGGATGAAGCTTCTTTTTTAAAAAATGTAATCTCAGAGCAGCAAAAGATTCATGTATAACTGAAATCATAACTAGAACTACATTTAACATGATCTTGTTTCAACTAAAAGTGGGTTCATTACAATGACAGTAGCTAGAACTACATTTAACATGATCTTGTTTCAACTAAAAGTGGGTTCATTACAATGACAGTAACTAGAACTACATTTAACATGATCTTGTTTCAACTAAAAGTGGGTTCATTACAATGACAGTAACTAGAACTACATTTAACATGATCTTGTTTCAACTAAATGTGGGTTCATTACATTGACAGTAACTAGAACTACATTTAACATGATCTTGTTTCAACTGAACATGGGTTCATTACAATGACAGTAACTAAAACTACATTTAACATGATCTTGTTTCAACTGAACATGGGTTCATTACAATAACAGTAACTAGAACTACATTTAACATGATCTTGTTTCAACTGAACATGGGTTCATTACATTGACAGTAACTGGAACTACATTTACCATGATCTTGTTTCAACTAAAAGTGGGCTCATTACAATGACAGTAACTAAAACTACATCTAACATGATTTTGTTTCAACTAAAAGTGGGTTCATTACATTGACAGTAACTAGAACTACATTTAACATGATCTTGTTTCAACTAAAAGTGGGTTCATTACATTGACAGTAACTAGAACTACATTTAACATGATCTTGTTTCAACTAAAAGTGGGTTCATTACATTGACAGTAACTAGAACTACATTTAACATGATCTTGTTTCAACTAAAAGTGGGTTCATTACAATGACAGTAACTGGAACTACATTTAACATGATCTTGTTTCAACTAAAAGTGGGTTCATTATGTACCATGACTGTAACTAGAACTACATTTAACATGATCTTGTTTCAACGAAAAGTGGGTTCATTATGTACCATGACTGTAACTAGAACTACATTAAACATGATCTTGTTTCAACTAAAAGCAGGGTCATTACAATGACACTAACTAGAACTACATTTAACATGATTTTGTTTCAACTGAAAGCAGGTTCATTACATTGACAGTAACTGGAACTACATTTAACATGATCTTGTTTCAACTAAAAGTGGGTTCATTATGTACCATGACTGTAACTAGAACTACATTTAACATGATCTTGTTTCAACTAAAAGTGGGTTCATTATGTACCATGACTGTAACTAGAACTACATTAAACATGATCTTGTTTCAACTAAAGTGGGTTCACTACATTGACAGTATTTTTTTACAACTATAATATATAAACCTACGTTCAACTTTAACCTTTATTACATCAGTCAGATTTATCAGAAAGTTTGTTAGATTATAATTCTAAATATTGGGCTCTACATATAATCACAGATTTAGTTAATCTACCGGAAAGCAAGGTAATTACACCAATGATTCCACAGATCAGTTTACTGGAGGCATCAGGAGGAATTTGGTCTTTGTGAGCTGAAAATAAATTATAAAACAATTCATGAAACTAATCATTAACGAGTCTTATAAGTTCATCATGAAGCGAAATGAACGAGATATCAAACTTCCCGTACATATTAAATTATAAATAATTTCATAATAAAGTTATATTCCTCGAGATATTTTCAGCTAAAGTCCTATTCTAATCATACTTGTAAACTTTTTATTCTATAACAAGGTAGAAAACAACACAATGAATTGTGTGTTTCTTTACTCGTAAAAGTACATATTTCATCCGTGTTTAAATGTTTCGGCTGCACAAAAATGTTTCTTTTACAAATTACTTATAATCAACACTAAGTTATAACAAACAACACGAATAGCTACATCCCAAGAAAACATACGTACAAGTTTTTTTGATACGCTCTTCACACGAAAAGCATTTATTAATTAGTATTTTACCTGATATATACACATACATAAAAATAAAGTCAACATTTTCAAATATTTTATTTTATTCAGACTAAAATCACATGCACTGAATACATACATCTATGCCAATATGGAGTAATTTAAACAAACTTTTCTAATAACTGCCATTAGTTTCTTTACTTCAACTCAATGGAGCTGTACAGCTAATCTCGATGTTCGATTACGAGGAACCCACTTTGAGACTAATAATGGTTGGAGACGGCTTGAATGGGTAATGAAGAAAAACTTTAATATAAGTTGAACATAACAGCAAATGTACAACGTTTCAACAAGGTTTTGTACAACATTGTAC